CTTCAGGGGGAGCATGGCCCCACTGAGATCAGATTCCAGGCCTCCAGGACTGTGGGCAATACATGCCTGTCATTCTGGGCCACCCAGTTATGGCAGCCCTGGCAAACGCAGCATTAAAGGACAATCTCCTTAGCATGTTGGCCTCAGGATCGCAAGTTCAAGACCAGTCACGGTGACTTAGAGAGACCCTATCTCAAAAATAAAAATAATATAGAACACAAGTCCACAGCAATGGAGAGAGCTGACGTGGTCAGAAACCGTGAGCCAAAATAAATCCTCCTTAAACAAGAAAGAAAGAAAAAAATCCATTTAAAAAACCAACAACAACAACACCAAACACAGCAGAGATCTCTTTGGAAGGAATGTATCCATGCAAAGACTTGTGCAAAGACGTTCACTAGCAGCATTATCATTCACAAAAGCGCCAAATTGAAAACAACCTCTATGTCTGTCAACTGGTGGATGGATAAAGAAACGTGCCGTAGCCGTGCAGCCAAGCATCCTTGATCCATGAAGAAATGCAGTACCATCCTTGCTGCTGGGTGGACGAGCCTTGAGAACATCATACACCTGGGCGGATCCTCATCCCCAGGCCCATCAACACAAAAACTCAGCTTTTTATACGTCAATCTTATCTCAATGAAGAGATTTTTTTTTTTTTAAGAAATATTATACTGGGGCTGGGGATGTGGCTCAAGCGGTAGCGCGCTCGCCTAGCATGCGTGTGGCCCTGGTTCGATCCTCAGCACCACATACCAACAAAGATGTTGTGTCCGCCAAAATGTAAAATAAAATAATCATTAAAAAAATATATCTAAAAAAAAAAAAAAAAAAAAAAGAAATATTATACTAAGTGTGAGAAGGCAGACACAAAGCTCCATGTATTGTCAGATGCCCTTGATACGAAACATCCAGAAAAAACAAATCCACAGAGACAGAAGTGATGGGCGGTGACCTGGGGTTGGGGACAGGCTGCAGGTCAGGGGAAGGAGAGAGCTGAGGGGCACATGGCCAAGGGGTGGGAGGGAGCTGCTTTTAAGGGTGATTAAAGTGCTCTAGGGCTGGGGGCCTCGCGCCTCCTGGCAGAGAGTGGGCTTAGCACACATGGGCTGTGTGCTCAATCCCTAGCACCAAAATGGATGTGGCGAGGGTGGCGGGGTCCATGACTCCACTAACACCGCGGACTCCCATCCTTAAATGGGTGAGCAAACCGTGTGTGAGTGACTCCCAAGCAGCCATTCAAGCCCCAGCCGTGGTTCACACACATTTCCCAGTGAGCCCCGTCCTTGCACCAAGCCCTCGACTGAATCCTCACTTCAATGCTGCCTGCTCCTCCCCAGGTGCTTCCGTGGCCACGGTTTTCCAGAGATTCTGAAGCTCAGAGGAAGTAGGGAGTGTGCCCAGGCCAGGGCAGGGACCCAGCAGGGTGGTTCTGGCTCTTCACCACAGAGACAGCACCCCCTCCGCCCACCTGCTAGGACCAGGCACTCAAAGGACAAGGACCCTCCCCAGCCACTCTGGACTCCTTTCTCTGCTTGCCAAGGGAACACCAGCCCACTCTTTGGGACATCCATATAGAATGCCATCAAGAAAGAAGCAGAGGCCCCGGAATCCCACCTTCAGGAGTCGAACTCCCATGCAGGAATTTGGAAAGAGATATCCATTCCTTTGATTAGATTCCTTCCTTCCTTCCTCCCTCCCTCCCTCCCTCCTTTCCTTCCTTCCTTTCTTTCATTGAGGATTGAACCCAGGGGTGCTTAACCACTAAGTCACATCCCCAGCCCATTTTTGTATTTTATTTATTCGTCTTGCTGAGTTGCTTAGGGCCTCACTGAGTTGCTGAGGCTAGGTTTGAACTCACAATCCTCCTGCCTCAGCCCCCCAAGCTGCTGGGATTTCAGGTGTGCACCACCGMGCCTGGCCTTGGTTAGATACACCTTTTTTAAAATATATATATATATATTTTAGTTGTAGATGGACACAATACCTTTATTTTGCTTATTCCGTTTTTTTGTTTGTTTATCTTTATGTGGTGCTGGGAATCAAACACTGTGCCTCATGCATGTAGGCGAGCTCTCTGCCACTGAGCCACAACCCCAGCCCTAGATACACTTTTAAGAAAAAATATATTTTTTTGGAGAGGGTTTGAAAAGGTCCCCTCACAGTGGAATTATAACCAATTCCATGAGCCCAATTTCAGTTATTTATGTCACTGTTGGTGGACTTTTGAAAAAGCAAGGGACACTTTGAATCTCAAGTTGGTTTTGTTAAACAAAACCCAGAAGACCAGCTCCTTGGTCACTTGGATGCAGTGGAAACAGCTGAGTCCATCTGGAACTTCCCCGGCATCTGATCCAAACTGAGGGCAAGTGTTTAGCTGGGAGACAAAGAGGGACCTTAAGTGCAGAAAAACCCCTTTTGTGCCCACACCGCCTGCAAGTTATGCAGTTATGCAGCTATTTTGAGGACAATAATGTTTTGTAAACAGTCGGCAAAGTGGCTTTGTGGTCAGTGTTTCTGTGGCTTGGGACAAGGACTATACAGAAGATAAGAAGACATGGTTGTGACAGTCCCTCTGAAAAGTACAAATGAATTAACACCGGTATGGATAATAAGTAATAGAAAATACTTAAAAAWTTTTTTTTTACTTGTTGATGGACCTTTATTTTACTTACTTGTTTGTATGCAGTGCTGAGAATCAAACCCAGTGCCTCACACGTGCAGGGCAAGTGCTCTACCACTGAGCCACAACCCCAGCCCTGAAAGCACCTTTTAAAAAAATGTCTATCCACAGGGCTGGGGCTGGGGCCCAGTGGTGGAGCACTTACCTTGCACATGTGAGGCCCTGATTCAATCCTCAGCACCACATAAATAAGTAAGTAAAATAAAGGTATCGTGTCCATGTTCAATACACACACAMAAAAAATATATAAATAAATAAATAAATAAAAATACCTATCCACAAGCCTCTACTGTAGGTGCCCAGATCCATTAACACCTGGAGACAATTGCAGATGGGGGGTAACTGAGCCATCCTGCATTTTCAGGATGAAGTCTTTCAGTGCAGGTTTAACCTGCTCCAGGAAAGGCAGGTGATCCGTGGTGCCAGTCATATTAAGACATCCACAGGTATGTGATTTTTTAAATATACATTCTTTATTTATTTATCTTTTTAGTTGTTGATAGACCTTTATTTTATTTACTTATATGCGGTGCTGAGAATCTAACCCAGTGCCTCACACAGGCCCAGCAAGTGCACCGGCATGTGATTTTTTAAAGTACAATGACTGTAAATTTTTTTGGGAACCCTGAACGTGCACAACTGAGTTCACATTTTTTAAGCCTGCGTTATAGTTGGTTTTTCATTCTATGGTGACGTGTCTTAGCTTGGTGGCCAAGATTCACGGCTCCCTGGACCATCCCAGAAGGTTACATCTCTCTCTTCTACTGAATGAGTCGGTGAGTTTTCAGGTCTTTAGAATACATGTGCCGCCAGGAGGCTTGGACCAAGCATAGTTATTTATATTGATCTGCCATTTTTTGTCTGCTTGGTAGGACTGGGCCCTGTGCCGGGCAATGTAGACACATGCCCAAGACCACTTTTAATCCTTGTGACAACTTCATGAGGAACATTGAACCCTCCCCATTTCAGAAATGAAGAAACCGAGGCTCAGAGAAGTTCAGAGACCTTCCAAAGACACGCAGCCAGAACACCGTAGAGCAGCAGTAGGGACCTAGCCCCTCCAACTCTGTACCCCTGGGTCTCTTCATCGCCCACCTGGAGTCCCACCCCCATGACAAAGAAGGAAAGACGGACGACAACAGCAATCACCAGGCCTCCTGCAGCAGCCCCCCCCCAGCAGACCCTGCACTGGAGCCTTCCATAAATTGACCCTCCCTGTGTTGACCGGATTTGGAAAGCAGATGATCCCCCTGTAGACGTGGAGAGTGGTGGCTCTGAGAGGTCACCCGGCCAGGGAACTGTGGAGCTGGGATTCCCCAGGATGCAGGGGCAGGTGGGGCAGACAGGGCGGACTCTATAAGGCCTGGTGGAGTAACTGGGAGCAGCCTGCACTGGGGGCTCCCACCAGCCCAAGGCCTCGCCACTGAGGGCACCAGGAACCATCTCATTCACTCCTCACCCCAACCCATAGCACTGCCCTCATTTTTCCAAGCAGGAAAGAGAAGCTCCAAGAAACAGAACGATGACACTAAGAAGGAATCCTATGTCAGCCTGTCCCCAGCACCTGTCCCACAGCACAAAGGCCACTGATCCAGGAGGCAACCAACGTTAGCTGGCCACACAACACTGATAGGTGGCACAGCTTCTGTGACGTGTCCTGAACGCCCTGGGCCAGACCCTCCCCACCTGTTCATTCACCCCCTCTCACCTCCTGGTCTCAGCTTCATTGAAGGGCACACACAGAGGGTCTGTGATAGGAAGGAGACGCTGGGGACACAGTGGTTAAAATCAGGACTCTGGAGTCCCCTCTGAGTTGATCTGAGTCCTGACTCCACCTCTCCCTGGGACAGAATTTGGGGCCACCCTTCAACCTGTACGAGCTTCTGTCTAGTAGAGGTAAGTGGGATTAACAAATTGAAGGAAACCTTGCATGTGAAGAATTAGCAATGCAGATGCTCAGTGCATGCAGCTATTATTATTACAAAAAGGACAGCACTCATTTAGCCCCCGATATCCTTGTTTCCCAGCCAAAGGGTCTGAAGTAAGAGCAAGGTAAGCTTTCAACTAGGGGAAGACAAACAGTTCTTATGTTCTGGTCACTGGGCAGGGATTCCAGAAGTTCTGAAAAGGTGGGAAGGGACAGTGTGTGGGGGGGAGGGTGACTCGTCAGAAGCCTGACTCACCAGGGTAGCTGAGGAACTCAATAATGCTTTCCTCATCTGGGGGTCCAGGGAGCTCCCTCTTCTTCCCACCATAGCTGGCTTCCTGAGTCCTTCCCACTATCCCATGGGGGGCCCGAAAATGCAGGGTCACTCACCGCCATGACCAGCTCGAAAGGGTACTTGTAGACACGGACAGGAGACTGGTACTTCTGCACCATGCTCACACTTGGAAGCCACCCAGATGGTGGCCAGCACAGAGCCTGGGTGAGGGGTGACTGGTGAGACAGTAGCTCCTTTCACACCAAGCAGGGACACTCCCCAGCCCCTCTGGCCCACCCACACTTCTCCCCAGCCCTCAAAGTGAGGCAGCTGATATGATTTCCAAGTTAGTCCAGGCTAGGCTTCAAACACCTGTCCTGTCCACTACCCAAGACCCCAGACTACACTCACCCCTCCAAGAGCAGTTAGCACTCCAAACCTTCCTCCATTCCCACCCCTTCACAGGGAGGGTCCCCAGAATCACCCTGCACCGTCACACGCACGCGCACACACACACACACGCAAGCACACACGCAATTCCTACACTCCCACCATTCTCTTCACACATGCTCCGACAGCTTGCCACAGACATCCTGACACATAGCCCCCCAAGTATCCTGCACTCCTATTTCCCCCCAAGACACTCTCACATACACAAAGGGTCACCAAATTTCACCTGCACTGTCTATGCCACACACAGGCATGACTCCCCTCCCACACAGGACCACCATGCACAGGTACATAACTTTGCACACTCACGCAGCTCACTGAAGCACACACCTACCCAAATTCACGGACACAGAATTTCCCTGATGCACACAGATGTGCGCACACACTCATGCGCACACGCACTTGCACACCCACACAGAAGCAGGCACACGCGCATATGCACGCACAGGCCCCCGCAACCCTGCTCACCTGAGCTCTTGGAGTCTCTGGGGACACAGCCTGGGGGGCAGTGTCCTGGCACTCGCCTGGCCCAGGAGCTGAGCTCGCCGGGTCTCCAGCGGTCGCCGAGCGGAAGCACAGCGCCTGGGGCGGAGCCCGACCGCGGCTGCCAGGCCAGGGGCGTTAAGCCCAGCACACCCGGCGGTCCGGCCAGCAGGGAAGGAGCCCGAGCGACTGGAGAGAGACCTGCGGGCCCGGAGCGCTCCAGGACCCGGGACAGCGGAGATCGGGCTGGCCCCGCCCCACGCCCTGGCCCCGCCCACGCCGCCTGCCACGGCCCCGCCCAGGTTTACCTTGCTCACTTACTGGCCCCGCCCCGGACGGATTCCCTCTTAGCCCCGCCCCCACTTTGCATGTCCCTTGCTTGACCACGCCCTCATCCCGACCCTTCCTCCGGATTGGCCACGCCTCCGGACGGCCCTGCGTTCCCGTCCCGCCCCTAAGGCGCCCAGCCTCCAGCACAACGCSGCGGCTGGGAGGTCCCTGCCCCCAGGTGGGCTCTGCGCCCCGCCGGGCCGGTGCCTCCGGCGCAGTGTACTTCAGCCCTTCAGTGCAGGTGCGGCGTCCCTCGCTCAATCCCGCAGCCCTGGGCTGGAGCCCGCTCCTTCCTCCACTGGCCGTGCCCAGGAGGCCCCTCCAGGCGTTCTGCACGTGTCCACAAAGCGCCCGCTCTGCGTCCGGCCCTGCAGGCGCTGAAGAGTCACCAGAGAACACACCAGACTTCCTTGCCCTCGTGGGTCTTCATTCCACAGGGGAGACAGACATTAAATAAATAAGGCAAATTAGTAGGTGGTGAAAAATGCCAGAGGGAGAAAAATARGGGGGGGGGGCTTCAAGAAACCAGCGGAGGGAGGTTTAAAACAAGGCGGATCAGGACCATCCTGGGAGGGCGACATCTGCCCACCCCCCCATTTTACCTCACATCCGAACCCTTCAGCCCACCGGGACTCGCGGAGGCCCMGCTCTCCCCTCCTGAGTCCTGCCTCTCCACTCCTCATCTGTTTGGCCCGCAGGAGCCCAGACGCCGGCTCTGGATCGCTGTCACCCAGCAGCTCCTCTGCGCCCGCCCTGGGGGAATCGGACCCGCCTCCCACGGAGGCAGGCGGACAGCCCTCCGGACGCCTCGGCTGTCCCTGCTCCTGTTCCCTGCTCCTGTTCCCTGCCCAGCCGGCATCCCATTGTAGTCCTTGTGTCCACTCATTGGTCTTGGTTTCTGGTGGTCTCTCTCCGGAGACTGCGAGCTCCCTGAAGGCAGGGCTGTGGCTGCCTCACTGGTCAGCAAGCGAGTCTTCAGGATCTTAACCGGGGACCGTGCAGGCAGCAGGTGCTCCGTGCCCTCTGGGTTATCAAGGGTGGAAATGGGACGCAGAGTTCCCCTCACCGCCACAAGGTGGCGGCAAATGACAGCCCATGGCGTCGGAGCAGCCACAGGTGAGTAGGCTGGCGGGCTCCTCCCGGGGCTCTGCGGGAGGGCTCCGTGCGAGGCTCGCGGTGTGCATCAACAGTGTTAGCCGGTGTCGCGAGCACAAAAGGCGAGTGGGCGCCTCCTCTGCCCCCAACACGGGAGCATTGACTCTGCGGGGCGGGGGCGGGGGCTGGTGCGGGGACTGGGCACCGAGCGCTCCACGCAGAAAATGGGACCCGCAGGGGGCATGAGAACTTCACCTCCTCTTCCTCCAGCCCAAGGGAATAAATAAATAATGTCACCGTCACCTACCACGTGTGTCTCCTATTCTTACCCCGCTTCTACTGTTAAGTACTCCTCCTCGTCCCAGAGCTTCCTGCGGTCTAAGCCAGCGCTGCACCACCCCCAGCGGCCCACCTCCGACGGAGTCCTCATTTGTATTTACTGTTCCAGGCGCCGTCTTAGAAGCACTGATTCATTTAATCCTCAAAACAGCTCCTATAGTTATGAACATGTTTTGGAACTTGATAGAGGTGGTGGTTGTGCATGGTGTTTCTACTAAATACCACCAGACTGAATACACTAAAATGGTTCGTTTTAAGCCCAGCTCAGGGGTGCAGCCTGTAATCCCAGCAACTCGAGAGGCTGAGAGGCAGGAGGTCACAAATTAGATGCCAGCTCAGCAATTTAGCAAGACCCTGTGTTGAAATAAAAATTAAAAAGCACTAGGGGTGTGGGTCAGTGGTAAAGTCCCCTGGGTTCAATCCCCAGTTAGAAAAAAAAAAATCTTAAAAATGCTTAATTTTATGTTCCATGACTAGTTTTCAGGTTTTTAAAAATTCAACCTTTATTTTATTTTTTGTGTGGTGCCGGGGATTGAACCCAGGTCCTTGTGATGCAAGACAGGMACTCCACCAACTGACTATATCCCCAGCCTGTTTGGATGTTGTTTATGTGGTGCTGAGGATTGAACCCAGGGCCTCACTCAACCTAGGCAAATGCTCTACCACTGAGCCATAACCCCAGCCCCTCAAAGGTATTTTAATCTGCATTTTACACAGAAGGAAACAGGCACAGAGAAGTTAAGTAACCCGCTCAAGAGAACAGCTAGGAAGAGACTTCAACCCAGGACTGGTCCTCTAATGCCTTCTTTCCCCAGGGATGCGGCAAAGTGCCTGGAAGCTGTGATTTCCTAGCCTTCATTGCAAGATCCACRTACCCAGGCCCCAGATGAGGAGTCCTGGAAGCCCACATCAGTCCCCTGGGGATGCTGGGGCGGGACCCAGGGATCCAGGGCAGGATTTCAGCCTCTTGCCCAGTCCGGCTTGTCCTGCAGGGATGAGCCTGCAGAGCTGCCTGGTGGGGAGGCAGCTTGGGGGACCCACCCCACCCCATTCATCTGAACATCTTGTCGGCAGAAGAGCGGCTGCCACAGGAACTTCAGCCACCAGTGACCTGGAAGGGAAGTGTCCTCAGCTGGGTAGCCCAGACCCAGGGTGAGGAGGAGGGTGGGAGCCAGAGGAGCCAGGTCCAGGCCCAGGGTGGGGGCGCAAGTGGTCCTGATCTGCTCTTGGAATACAGGAGGGCCCCGGGGGCCGAGGCTGCCCAGAGCCAGGCAAGCAGGCCAGCGCGCCCACCTCGTTGACTGGGGTGATATATACGGAGCATGAAAGTCACCATCTCCACCGTGTCCCAGTGTGCCATCCTGGGGCTGGGCCTCAGCACCCCGTCTAATCAGGAGCACTTTCACGCCCCGGGAGGGAGGGAAACAGGTGACCATGAAGCAGCCTTCCTCCTCGCCTACCAGCCCCAGGAGATACCGCCTTAGTCCCGGGCTGCCTCTGATTCACAGAGCACACCCCCCGGGGGGGGGGGGGCTGGATTTGGGAACCTCTGGGGCCCTCAGGGTCAAGGCAGGGCTGTGTGTACAGGTTGTGACCTGCTCAACTGCATGCAGTGGTCCTGGTCACTGAGCAGCCTCCATGGGCAGAGGCCCAGTCTGGGGCATGGAGACAGAACAGCACGAGAGTCTTGGGGCTTGGGGAGGGTGACCAGGAGCTGGTTCATGGACAGAGGGTCTCAGTCTTATAAGATGCAAGAATCCTGGGGCGGAGTCATGGCAAACACATGGAAATAGGGGTGTGTCTCTTGCACAGAGCTGTGTGCTCACTGCGGCTTAATGTGACCGTGTGTCTCACCTGGATGAAAGCGCAGCACTGGGGGCTCTGTGCACACCCAGGTCACAGGGCTGTCAGGGATTCCCGAGGAGCTCCATGCACAGCAGAGGCTGGGCTGGCCTGGTGGCAGGGGCCAACCCCAGGGGAYGTCCTGAGGGGCAGCATTTGCAATGGTGGCCAGCAGTTAAGGAGAGCGGGGAGCCTGCTTTCTTGAGCTCTTGACTCCCACGCGGTCTACTCCACCCTGGAAGTGTGTGGGGTGGTGGCTTCAGTGTATTCAGAGTTGTCCAGCTCTCCCCACAAACAACTGGACATGTTCTTTCTTTTCTTTTTTCTTTCTCTCTCTTTCATTCTTTTTTCCTTCCTTCCTCCCTTTCCCCCCTCCCCTCCCCTCCCCTTCCCTCCTCTCTCTTCTCTCTCTCTCTCTCTCTCTCCCTGCTGGGGATGGGCCTCGTCCTTGCCAACGTCCACCCTGCGGCTGAGCTGCCCCCAGCCCTGGCAGGACATCGGATAGCCCTTGAGAAGCCCCGTGCGGCCTCCTCCACCCCCACGGCCACTCACCTGCTCTCCGTCCCCTGCCTGTGCCTGCCCTGGCCTCTCCCGTGGGTGGACTCTGCACCACGGGGCCTCTTTCCCTCAGCCTGGTGGTTCTAGGTCTGTCCACGGCCGGCCAGGTGCCAGGGCCGGCCCCGGCTCAGCCAGTGCCCTCCACTGAGCGAAGCCTGCCCTTCGTTCCCGTGTGGACTGAGTCACCTCCTCCTGTGGATGCCACTGGGATTCACCCAGCCCTGGTGGRGAGAGGTGTGGGAGTTGGTAGCTCTGCCTGCTTCTGGGTCAGGGAGAAATGGCCACCAGGAACCTGCCAGGCCAGAGCCCCACGGCTAGACCGTAGGCTGGACGAGCAGAATTGGAGTACTCACGGCCACTCTCCCATAGTGTCTCGGGTCAGTTTCAAATCTGGATCCCGCAATCCCCTTGAGTTTAGAAGATGCTCCGAGAGGTGCTGAGGCAGGCGTGACCTGGGAGCCTCGCCACTGGGCAGCCTCCGGGACACTGCCCAGCCTCTGGGTGACGGGACATGGAGGGTGTCCAGGGTGGAGTACCAGAGGGTGGAGGGGGTCCCATTCCCTCTCTCCTGCCCCCTTGGTGGCCCAGAGACGAGGCCCCTGAGTGTGGAGGGTGCTGTGTCACCGCAACAAGCCACTGTCAACTTGTGTCTTGAAAAACAGCTGGAGTCCATCATCTCACAAGTCCAAGGTCAGGAATCTGAAACCGGCCTCGCTGGGCCAAAGACACAGAAAGGAGTGTCTCAGGCCTGATCCGGGGTTGGAGGCCCCGGCAGGGGAGGCCAGCGGCAGCTTCCCAGGGAGACCTCCGCCCGGCCCAGAGCAGGAGAGGCAGAGCTGAGCCTGCAGAGCCAGTGCGGCCTGGGCAAAGGGCCCTGCAGCCCTGCACTGCCCGG